AGGTGTGCCTTAGGTGTAATTGTACAGAACCTGCTGACATTTCTAGGAATGCAACTTCGTACACTAGCCATCATGATACAACAATAAATCTAAGTAGGCATGATATCCATCTACCATAACTATGATACCATGTATTTACCATACAGGACATAGCAAGGGTACTGTTAGAACCTGCACGCCATCTTTGTAGTCTACTCAATTTACTCAGAGACTCCATTCCTTTTGCCCCCTCATTGGTTGATAGAATATAACCATGATGTCTTTCCTACAATTCGATATACAAGTTTAGAGTTCGTCTGTAGAGATGTGGATGCAATGGAATTCTGGAAGAGAAATCTAATTCCTTGCTAGGTGATGATATTGCCGGAGCAAAGGGGAATTGCTTTGCTTTACAAAGTCTCTATTTATTTTGATCTGTTAATTTAAGAACATAAACAATACTGTTCAATAACCACGAATTTATGGAGAAATGTAATATCTTATTTTTATAGAATCGTCAGTTCAAATATTACAAAGTAAAGTGTAGAACAAAACATGATTATAATGAAAAATGAACTCTTTGAAATGTTGGCTATCTGTGTAATTATTTTACCTTGATTGCCAGCGTCATGTTCATATACCATACACTGACATTACCATTATTCTGCTTCAAACAATAGGCAACCACTATAAAGATGAGATGAAATGATTTGCCTTTCATCAATAAATTGATTCTGAACTCATTCATTGTGACATTACTGAATGTCAGTTGGTGTTAATCTTTGAGGTAATTTGTCATTGATAATTATATACTGTGCTAAAGCAACAAAACAATATGGCTGACTCTTTATGGAATGAGTTCATTTTTATTCGTACCTATTTTTGTACAAATAATGACATTAAGGACTCATAGCCACAGTAGCTTTTATTAAAAAAGAAAGCAATGTTTAAGAGCTATCCATTTCAGTATTTTGGCATCATGAAGACATTCTCCAAATTCAAGTACGGTAATAATGTCATTTTATCCTTAGTTAGCTTGATCAAAGTGTTTCAGTGATGTTACCTGTTTAAAATACAGTGCATTTCTGAATAGTTTAACCTTAATTTATATTCATGAATATCCTTTAAATGATTTCATGCTACTTGTCCAGTGTGCAAAGCCTACTGTCAATTTAAATTATTTAACACAATCTTTACAAATGTATTAAACATTTATATATAATTATTTCCATTAACTAGATAATTGCCAGAAGAATTGTTAAGCTCATAGTGAAAATATCATATTTCATTCTAAAGTTTGGAAACATTGTATGAAAGACGGTATAATTTTTAAGCATTTTTATGCAGCACAATTTTGTCACTGTAGTGTAATCCCTACTATCACACCACCTCCCTCCAAACATGTAAAAATGTAAATGGCATAAAAAATTGCGAATAAAAATTATATTCATTTAACACAGGAAAATATATATATTCATATATATATTTATTTTCTTGATGAAAGATTTTTAGGAAGTCTGAAACTTTGATAATTTCTTAAAAGTTAAGTTTTATTTTTCAAAGAAAGCCAAGGATGCTATCCTCTTTGCACCAGGTAAAAAAATTTTTTCTAACCTAGGAGTAAAAATGTATCCATTATATACATGTGTGTATATAAATGCTATATATATATATATATATATATATATATATATTATATACATTATGTAAATATATATATATACTGTATACTGTATATGTACTGTGTATATGTATATATATATATATTGGCATTGTAGTAAGCTTATGCAATGTATGATCATATATTGTAACTAAACCCCAATTATTTTTTGTCTAGGTTAGGTATTTGTAATAAAAAATTATTACATTGTGTGTGCTTTGACATTACTGTTTAGTGAATGAGTGAATGTGCTGGATCTTGTATGCCAATACACATAATTACAACGTGTTCTGATTAATTTAACAAAAATAAAACCAAACTGGAGAAGCCATGTGTAAAAACTACACCTTATGATTCAATAGCTTATAGGTATGTACTTTGCCTTGGTAATCATTTTGGCTATTCAAAGCAGACAAATACATTGTTTGAAAACAATGAGACCCCAATAAAAGCAAGGTCAGTATCTGGTTGCCCACTCAGTCCTCTAATATCGAAGTCTGAAGGGTGAAGGAGGAGAAAAAATAAAACATAATGCCACCCTCTTTCATTTTTATGTCTTTTAATTTCACAATCTAACTTCAGTGTCAGTATGAAAGCATAGAATGTTAAGTTAAGTGCATTTCAGACTAATGCATAAAGTGCATTTCAGACTGAAGCCCCAATATACACCCAAAATACCTTTATTACCTGTTGAAAGATTTCAGGAAAAAGTGTAGGAATTTCCAAATGGCTTATTACATGTTAATGTATAACCCCGAGTGTGTTTCTTATCATTCAATTTAAGATTTCTTGAATCATTTCTAGAAAAGTCAAAATTCGAATTGCATCTAACCAACATAATCAAACTCATTTACAAAGAAAAAGTTTAAAAAATATTTCTTGCATGTCTGTAATAATCAAGGTTTGCTAAGTAAAGTACTTTGATGTATTGTTCAATATGTTCTATACTGGTTAAATACTACACGTTATTTAATAGTGTGCCCTGTGCTATTCTTCAGTTTTGACCTCCACTCAGTAAAAGTTGCAAATTGTGGTGTTTCCGATCAATATGCTTGACAGGAAATAAAACAAGGTTTTATTGACTAATACTTTTGCAAATGTTAAGATTGGCTTGTTACCTGTAATGGATTACAAGGCCTGGCATGGATATATAATGATTGTCCTATTTCTCCAACATATGGCTGCCTGAGTATTTTATATTGCATCTATTACATCTATTGAGTTATATTCCTTAAGATTTATCTAGTGTATCAGTCTACAGCGATATCTTTGTTTTTTCTGGTTTAACAGGGAAAGAACAGGTTAGTGATGGGTAAAGATTGGAACTGAAACTGCTGTTTTCAAGTGAAGAACATGAGTGTATCTTGTCACCTGTAATAGTATTTATTAAACTCAGTTTACTACATTTAAACGAATAAACCCAAAACAATATGATTAAAATTTTATTAAGATATGGAAAATATAACTCAAATAATCACATGGAGATCTAGAATTTTAGTGTGGAGTTGGCTAGCCTAGAACGTTCAAAAATAGTAGTGAGAGTGTGTGATGTCAGCAAGAATTAGAACATGAAATGTCATCAAACGCACTGTCCATCTCTAAGGATTCTGCTCTGAAGATATTCTTGTTTCACATGGCTGCTAATACTAAATGCTTTTTGTTCACTATAAATCTTTAATTCAGTTTTAATATAACATGTAAAAATTACCATAATAACAATGAATATCAAAAAGGGTTAAATACATACTATAAGCATTCTGTGCAAAGAAAATTCCTAAGAAGACCTCATGCTCTACATTTCTTAGTTTGGCTTTTAAACATGCAAATTGCATGTTGAGCATCTTGATATATAGATGGTAATGCACAAAATGGTATATATTATTATTATTATTATTTGTTAATAATAATACTAATAATAAGAACAAAGTATTTAACCAGGAAAGTTACATTCAGATTACTCTGATTTTCAGATACATCCTGGGGATGTTACCTTAGCCCAAAATCCAGGAGTCATTACTATTACCCAAGTTAATGGTACTCATTTTATATTCTTTTCAGTTTTTGTCCAATAAAGCCATTAAATAAATTGTAATTGTGTATTAGAGTAATCTCTTCACTGACCCTTTGTAAAAACACAAAAACAATAATTGTAGTATAAACAAACAATAACTGAATTGATAACTTTCTCACAATAATTTATTTTATCAGCAGATCAAAGACCAAGGTAAGCTCATATATTCTCTGCTTTACAGGGAGTGCAGAATTATTAGGCAAATGAGTATTTTGACCACATCATCCTCTTTATGCATGTTGTCTTACTCCAAGCTGTATAGGCTCGAAAGCCTACTACCAATTAAGCATATTAGGTGATGTGCATCTCTGTAATGAGAAGGGGTGTGGTCTAATGACATCAACACCCTATATCAGGTGTGCATAATTATTAGGCAACTTCCTTTCCTTTGGCAAAATGGGTCAAAAGAAGGACTTGACAGGCTCAGAAAAGTCAAAAATAGTGAGATATCTTGCAGAGGGATGCAGCACTCTTAAAATTGCAAAGCTTCTGAAGCGTGATCATCGAACAATCAAGCGTTTCATTCAAAATAGTCAACAGGGTCGCAAGAAGCGTGTGGAAAAACCAAGGCGCAAAATAACTGCCCATGAACTGAGAAAAGTCAAGCGTGCAGCTGCCACGATGCCACTTGCCACCAGTTTGGCCATATTTCAGAGCTGCAACATCACTGGAGTGCCCAAAAGCACAAGGTGTGCAATACTCAGAGACATGGCCAAGGTAAGAAAGGCTGAAAGACGACCACCACTGAACAAGACACACAAGCTGAAACGTCAAGACTGGGCCAAGAAATATCTCAAGACTGATTTTTCTAAGGTTTTATGGACTGATGAAATGAGAGTGAGTCTTGATGGGCCAGATGGATGGGCCCGTGGCTGGATTGGTAAAGGGCAGAGAGCTCCAGTCCGACTCAGACGCCAGCAAGGTGGAGGTGGAGTACTGGTTTGGGCTGGTATCATCAAAGATGAGCTTGTGGGGCCTTTTCGGGTTGAGGATGGAGTCAAGCTCAACTCCCAGTCCTACTGCCAGTTCCTGGAAGACACCTTCTTCAAGCAGTGGTACAGGAAGAAGTCTGCATCCTTCAAGAAAAACATGATTTTAATGCAGGACAATGCTCCATCACACGCGTCCAAGTACTCCACAGCGTGGCTGGCAAGAAAGGGTATAAAAGAAGAAAATCTAATGACATGGCCTCCTTGTTCACCTGATCTGAACCCCATTGAGAACCTGTGGTCCATCATCAAATGTGAGATTTACAAGGAGGGAAAACAGTACACCTCTCTGAACAGTGTCTGGGAGGCTGTGGTTGCTGCTGCACGCAATGTTGATGGTGAACAGATCAAAACACTGACAGAATCCATGGCAGGCTTTTGAGTGTCCTTGCAAAGAAAGGTGGCTATATTGGTCACTGATTTGTTTTTGTTTTGTTTTTGAATGTCAGAAATGTATATTTGTGAATGTTGAGATGTTATATTGGTTTCACTGGTAATAATAAATAATTGAAATGGGTATATATTTGTTTTTTGTTAAGTTGCCTAATAATTATGCACAGTAATAGTCACCTGCACACAGATATCCCCCTAACATAGCTAAAACTAAAAACAAACTAAAAACTACTTCCAAAAATATCCAGCTTTGATATTAATGAGTTTTTTGGGTTCATTGAGAACATGGTTGTTGTTCAATAATAAAATTAATCCTCAAAAATACAACTTGCCTAATAATTCTGCACTCCCTGTAGTATCAAATCTGAAGCATATGTAACAATATGTTGAGAGTAGACTTGCTTCATCTAAATCAATTTGTTCCCCAAAACATTTTGTTTCAGGCGATTTGAGTTTCATTCAAGTGGCATTTTGGTTCGGGCAAAGTTTGTCCATGCACTAATTTCGGGAAGAACTATTTGGATGAAAAAAAAAAAATGGGGCAAAAATTGGCCAACAGTATATTGCAATACATAAATGCATAAATATAATGTTTATAGATACAATAGCACCATTACATAAAACATAATTGTGTATTAGAGGAATCAGTTCATTGAAGCTTTTCCAATAATATATCCATTGTAGTTTAAACACAAAAACAATAATTGAATGGATTACCTTTACTTCAAAAATTCCTTTTATCAACTTCAAAGCACATTCAACAGCATTTTGAGAGTAGAACTGAGCATGGAGAAAAAAAATTGGTTCATCTATTCTAAATCAATTCGTCCCCCCAAAAAATTTCAAATTAGGCAATTTGAGTTTCATCCATGTGACGTTTTGGTTCTGACAAATTTTGTCCATGCACTCATTTCAGATAAAACTTTTTGGATGAACCAAAATGGGGCAACAGTTGTCCAACAGTGTACCGCAAAACATAAATATTATGTATATATTTGTGCAGTACACCGAGAGGTTGTTTTTCACACCATTTGGTTCACAGATCATGTAAGTAGAAACCAATAGAGTAAAAATTAGGAGAAGCTTTAAAAAAAAAAAAAAACGAATTTTGCGGCGGAGCTAATGCATGAACCTGATCAGACACCATTCCTTTAAGCTCCTCGCAGGCCTGGGAAAAATTGCCTTATATCTCTACCCCAATACGCCATCCAACCCTACCAATACAAAAATTGATAACTGGACAAGAAAATAATTTTAGATGACATATTCCGGATCACTAGCACCGCCAAGCCCTCCTCTGCAGGTGCATAATTAGATGCACCTCTACAGCAGATAAGGCCCGCTGTTGACATTCGAGGACTCCTCGCTAAACTTTTTCCAGGACCTCTCCAAGGCACCGTTGCAATGGCGCAGAATCCTGGGCCCTGTCACTGCCCACCGTTGATCCTCTCGTATGCCTTACCGATGGGGGACCCAAGGCACTCTACTGGTGAACGGATCTGCACACATGTTTTGGTCACCTGCTGAGACCCAGGCATTATTCACAGTATTGGGTCTCACACCAACCCACCTGTAAGGGCCCCATCAGTGACTTGGGACCCTCCTACCGTCATCCTATTTGTACCATAGGCTGAAGGCCCTACCACGTCAGAAACTTCACCACTAAGTCAATATTTATTGAGCCCAAGGAACCACATGGCAAGAAGTTAACACCTTACGCAGTGGTTCCCACTCAACCGGTTGATCTCTTCTTATGTTTGCATTGACTTTTATGTTTTTCCTTTCTGTTTCTGGTATTTTATTATGTGTTCAGTGTACCATGTGTTCCTCCTGCTTCAGCACCTTACACGCTAAGGCCACCATAGCTTAAAGGCCGTGATGGGCTTCAGACAAGCTTAAGAAAGCCACACTTCAAATAGGAATGGCCGATCACATACTCTTTTAGGTGTGATCTACCTTTAAATGAAACCCCCCCGCCCCTTGATCACATGGGTCCAGGGTAATTCTTTTACACCTGCTAACTAGCTAATTAACAGTCACCTCATAATTAACACCTGCCTTATGCATCTCTCTTGCACATAACCTCATGTCATGGCCCTAATAGTAACAGTAGGCTACTTAAGACGCTCACGAGAGTCACCATGTATTTTTACATAACCACATTGACTTCAAGACATTCCTCGACGCATAATAGCGTCTCCCTAGACAGCCTGGACACAATTTTTGGTGGGTTGTTTATATAGGTTTTATTCCAATTAATACATTTTGCATTTTACCTTGATATAGTGGCTTCAATTAATGGTAATCTCTTGGGAATTTACCACTTTCTTGGGTCTTTCTCAAATTATCTTTCTTTATTGTCTAAATTAGGGCTACCTCCTGTTGAGATTACTTTAAATAACCAATTTTGGAGACTCCTACATATAATTTATGTGTAGGAATATCCTCTATTTTTATACACTCTATAAGCCTTTTACATCTGGAGGCATGGGTGTGAAAATTCAAAAATGTATCAACCACACCAAGCAACCCTACTTAGCCCATTACGTTTAGCATACCACCACAACCCTATTCACTGGGACCACTTGGAAGTAGGACACACTATAGGTCTAGACATTACCTCACTAGCATGGATAACTTAATATTTGCAAACAAAATATACAAACATGCTTCCTACAACAGATCACATAATCTAAGCCTGGGACATTCATAGGCAAAAACACAAACAGACATGACAAATATTACCCTCATTACCCATAGCAGCCTTGTCGACAATCAGACTTTAAACACACTTCATAGCACAGATCTGGTACTACATCAATTACAATTGTAGCCAAATTCTTATACTTTCAAATTAAATCTTGCTTACGAAAACATTATGTAAAAATTCAAGAATTGTAAATGAGCAAATGGGTTGAAAAAATATGTTTAAAAGCTTTTCCTCCTAAAAAACTAATTTCTATGTTTTATGCTTTGGAATTGGAACAGAACAATCTCACTATGCCTTCATGTAAAAATCTGGGGGAAAAGAACAGAAAAACAAATCTAGAAAATCAAAACCAAATATTCCTAGTTTATAAACAATTCACTCTGTGTGCTTCCTAAATAGTGCTAACTAGAAAAGTACTGTACTGCTGGTACATGGTCCCAGGAAATTCAGCAACACGCTGGAGATGCCTTACAGACACCGGCACCATGTTACACACATGGTGGACATGTCCAAAGATAGAAGACAGTGCCAACATAAACTTGCCACTGCTTCCAAAAACTTACCTATTTTACCTTCACCAACCAAATATTAAAAATATTAAAAAAGCAATGCAATACCAAACCTACCACATACTCCTTGCAGCCTTGACTGCCATCAGCCAGAGCTGGCTGAAAACTGGCTGAAAACCACAGCTCGAACTATAGACACATGCATCTAGATATTGGTATGTACAAAAAATTGTGAAACAATGGCCAGGAAAAATGTCAAACCTAAGCATTTATGGGAAGATAGCATGGGGAAAGTAAGTCACATTCTGTATTAAAAATTACCTATGATTAATTTTAAACTATTCTAGTCATTCAAAACAGCATCCGATAGCTGCTCATAACCTCCTCAATTGTCACACTGGAAATATAGACTACAAGCTTGCTGTTGAAATTATGGACAGATGGAAATTAACTGCATTCATCATACCCTAAAAGTTTCCCTGACATATATTTGTTCATGCGTATGATGCATACGAATGTCTATTCTAGCATTTTTCCTCATTTTCCCTAATATCCCCCCGTTAGTCCTTATCTTTCAATAAAACGGTTGTACACTGTTGGGTTGATCCACCCATTGATGCTAATGCTAAAACAATAAGAATGACTACTCATAATCCATCTTAATTGTAAACCTGAGATATGCCACCATGTACCTTGTGGTAAAAATGTCATGTTCCCTGTACGTATACTATTTTCTTGATATGTGTACTTGAAAAAAGTTTAATTAAAGGAAAAAAAAAATATTACTATGTTCATTTAAGTTTTATTGAAGCACATATCAATGGTAAATCCTTAACCAAAGAGTATGCACTAATGTTTATGTTGCAAATGTCAATTTGACCTTTGGATTCTAGCCTTTGCTTTGCATTGTGTTAATAGACTAAATGAAAATCAAGGAGTCTTTTAAAACATACTGAATACACATGTATTTATTACAAGGCCATGTATGTATTTATTGAGTAATTATTGGTTAAAATATAATCAATGTTTCTAAACCGCTAGTCAGGGTGTGTTGACGTTATTTTTGCAGGCAAAATCCATGGACCTTACTACAAGACTTCACTCATTTGAATCACCCTTTGTAACTATCACCTCCAATTCATTGTATGACCAGGGAATTGTCCATACCATGTTACTACATATTGAATATATGTTCTCTTCGTAATTAGAAAGGCTATTGGACTAGTATGTAAACAATGTATGTTAAAGTTTAAGAGCTATTGTATTTTGGCCCAGGTTCCAGTTGCTTGGGCATACAGTGATATGTATTATTGTTATTTATTTATTTTATTAAATGGACACTTTAGTCAATAAAACACATATATATATATATATATATATATATACAGGCATAGGCGTGCGCAGCCTATTGCATTAGGGTGTGCACCCTAAAGCACAAGCACACGCCGCATATATGTATATATACATATACATACACACACACATATATACACACATACACACACTGCTGTGTGTGTGTGTGTGTGCTGTGTGAGGGTGCCGTTAGTGTGATGTGTGTGTGACGGTGCTGGTAGTGTGCTATGTGGGTGAGGGTGTTTGTGTGTGCGTGCTTGTGAGGATGCTGTTAATGTACTGTGTGTGAGGGTGCTGTTTGTGTGTGCGCTTGTGAGGGTGCTGTTAATGTACTGTGTGTGAGGGTGCTGTTTGTGTGTGAGGGTACTGGTAGTGTGCTGTGTGTGTTTGTTAGGGTCGTGTTTGTGAGGGTACTGTTAGTGTGCTGTGTGTGTGTGAGGGTGCTGTTTGTGTGCTGTGTGTGAGGGTGCTGTGTGTGTTTGTGAGGGTGCTGTGTGTGTTTGTGAGGGTGCTATATGTGTGTGTGGGGGTGCTGTATGTGTGTTGGTGCTGTGTGTGTGTTGGTGCTGTGTGTGTGTGG